ATACCAGAAGATCTTGAGAATGAAATTCTTCTATACAGTATTTGAGTTCTTCCTCAGATCCATAAGACGAGTTCAAATTATATAGGTCAGATGGCATATAACCTGTAAGACATTCCCCACTGTTCATAAGTTGTAGCCCAGACATCGAAATTATCCCATGTTAACCAAACTGGGAAAAAAGGGTTGAGAAGCGTTTGAACAATAGTAGATGCTAAGAAGAGCTTATATTTTATTTTATTTGCCTCAAACAATATAAAATAAAAATGAAATGGAGCAAACCTTGTGGAGCAACAGATTCTGTTGGTGGTGGGAGCCACACTGCTGTTATCCCAGATTGGGATAAATCAGATGCTTTGGCAGCTAATTCCAGGTACCAGCGTCTTCTCCAGCTTTCCCAGTTGAAACCTTGAAACTTCATGAGGTATCCATTAACAATCATCAGTCATGGTTGGAGCGGATTGATAATAATAAAAATGTTGTAATAACTGAAAAAAACAATAGGTTCTCGATGGGGGGGGAAGTCCACCGATAAATCAATGGAAGGGGGGATTTTTTTTCAGAAGATTCTGAACTTCCCAATATTGGCTAATTCTAAATAGCAAGTACTTGAAACTGAAAGTTTAGCATAACTTTCATATGACTTTTAGGGGAAATATCATCATTTGAGCAGCAACAAATAAATGGAAAGGAAAAAAAAATTATAGATTCTAATTGTAATTCCACCGGAAGTGAAGAATTTGAAACAGGTAGAAGTAAGCAATATATGCAGCTAACATTGTGCCATGATCTATAGGACTTATTCCCTTCCAATGAATAAAAGCACTAAGAAACATGACAAAAAACCTGATACAATAGACGAACGGTGTGATACCAATCCCTTACTAACTTAAGAACAAGAGATCAACTACAAGAAAGTCAATCAGCAATGTCATTTATTTTAAAGCTCAAGTAAATCTAGTGTGATGCAACTAAGAAACATGACAAAAAAACCTGATCAAACTCAATTGGAAAATATTTTTGAACAATTAACCCAATATTCAAACTAAATATTGAGTTTGCACACCAAGGAATTTAATTATGTAAATCAGAGTAGAGTGCATTAATTTATTGATGTCATTAGTGAAAACTAACCACAATTTCGTGTCCAGTGCCAGTACCGGGCTCTGCATCAAAGTCACAAGAATTGAATCTTAGGAATATATAATAAAAAAATTTCTTGATTACATAAAAAGAAAAAGGATAAAGCCAGCTGACCTAATTTTGTTTGATCCGGTGTCCTTTGCCATTGTATGGTTTTTCGTTGCAGTGCACGCTCAAGAGCCTTTCTTTTCTTTTCTATTGATTCCTTCTCGATAACATGCTCAATTAGTGTATCCCCCACTTTTGGCTTTTCTTGAGCAATTGACCATACTTCTTCAAGTTTGGGCAAGTCCAATGATCTAAACTTTGATGTTGAAACTTCAGTTATATCAATCTTTCTTGGAGGAAACTTGGGGCGAATGGTTCCAATTCTTCTTGCCATCCATTGAGGTATCGCTCTTCGAGGACCATCACTCAAGAGTTTCCACTTTTGCGACTCATCATTTGTCAAGAGGTCTATCCTCCCACCATTGACAATATAAGCTGCCTCTTCATTATCTTTACCAAGGGTTCTTTCCTTCGATAAAAATGACTCAGCCATTTCAGCTCGTTGTTGCCACATCTTTGTTGCAGCTTCCGAAGCCCTCAATAATCTTTGCAGTGCTTCACATCTTCTCATATAGGCATTGTCTTTTGAATGTGCAGTTTCTTTGGCAGCTTCAATGGCAGACTTAATACCTTCAAGCTCAGCCTTGAAAGCTTTGGAAGCAGCTTTCTTCTTGTCTGTGAAATCTTTCTTGATTTTCTCCATCATCAATTTAATTTCTCCCTCCTGTTGGATTATCTTTTCCATACTCGAGTTTTGAAATTCAAGCAACACTGTTTCAGCATTTTTGGCTCGAATTTCTGATGCAGTTGCCCGTGCTCGGGCTTGCTCCAGTTCCAACTTAAGGTTATCAACATCAGCTCTTGCAAGTGATAAGTGAGATTCTAATTCATCCACGACACCTTTCAACTTAACACTTTCTGATTGGATAGAAGCGATCTCATCTAGAGCATATACCTCATCAGTAAATGTAGCTACAGCCTTATTTGCATGAGCACTAGCTTTTTCAGCCACATCCAATGCCTTCTCAATAGCTATTTTTGATTGTTCTACAAATGATAGCATCGAACCTTCAGTAGCATCGCTGATCTGTTTTTCAATTTCATAAGATGCCTCGACAGCAGAAGTTTCTGCAGCTGAAACTCTTAATTGAGCATCTTCTAATATGTGTGACGTGGCCTGCTCGAAGGCAATTGCAGCTAACTTTTCAACTTGTACTGCAAGATCAATAGCATCCTGCTTTGCAAGGACCAGCTTAGATTCCAAAGCAAACTTCTCACCTACTGATTCCTCGAGTTTTTTATTAAACAGTGATCTGGCAGCCTCGAGTTCTGAAACTGCCAATTCCTTATCATGCAATATAGTAGCAAGATATTCTTTTTGTTTAGCCTCATAGCGAGTCAACTTCTCAAGCAGTTGGTCTGTTTCTTTCTCTACAGCTTCTTGTCTCGTTTGAGACTCCAAAAGCGCCTTTTTAACTGCAAGAATTTCATCTTCTTCTGACCCCAATATTTCACTTCCTCCAGTTGAAGGATCGTTTGAATTGTCCTGTCACAGAACCAACAGCCATAAGTCAAGTCATAGTTTCACAGATTTGATATAGGATGTAGTTGAATACACAAGTTAAATTCCAATTTTTGCATTCCAGGAAAACAGTTAGCCTTTCATTTCCATTCAACTTGATTTAAAAAAAAAAAAAAAAAAAAAAAAAAAACACATTAATTAATAAAGAAAATCCGATATGATGATTCATAACTCTGTTCGAGCAGTTAGTGCGCAGATTCTAATAATGAAAACAATAGAGAACATGGGTTCAAAGATTTCCATACCCGGCTAGAAAAGGCAACAGTAATTGGTTTATGCAGGAAGTTGTCAGTGTATGATACTTTCCTGCATGAACATTGACAAATGATCGGAATTAAAAAGAAATAAAAGAAAAGGACGATGAGGAAAATCAAGCTAAAAACCAAATCTCGTCCCTATTTTTCCTGGAGAGAAAAGACATGCAGGCAGAGTAAAAGCATACGTACCGCTTCCAGGTGACTGAAACTGTTCGTAGATTGTGATGGCAATTTGATGACCGTCTGCCATATGATGAGCCTGGAGTGACAATAGGGCAACGCGGAAGGATTTCAATAGCTACGTCAAGTAAAGGGAATGGACCCATTACTTCCTGTACGGAATCAAAATCAATTTTACGCAATGAAACCAGCAATCAAGTTACATTTTATATTGATCAGATTTCATCCACAAAATACATAATACATGCTCTACCCTTCTGTGGTTCAAATTTCTCCACCCGCCAAAAACACAAAAAAGTTAAACAAAAATTGCGAGTAATTGAACCACGGAACATAACAAATTGCGAAATCAAATGGAAAACTAAGCCACCGACATTAACTAACACAACAATTTTCAAAGAAATCATCTAGAAAATGGAAAACGACAAAAAAACAGGAGAAAATAAAGAAAAACTGAAAGCCACCGACATTAAGAAAGACAAAAAAGATCTTAAAGAGGCAAGGAAATGAAAATGGGAGTAACAAACTGAATGATCTGATCAAGATCAAAATCATCGATGATTGAAACCTGTAAAACTAAGCAACATCGAAAGAGTAATTAAAAAAAGAAAAACTCGAAAACCTGATTCGAATCGCGAAATCAAATGGAGAACAGGAATCGCATTCTTCAGATATCGTGTTGGAAAGAGTAGGAAACAGAAAATGTAATAGACGATGAATCAGGTAAGGGTGGATTCGTACATGAAGCAGTGGAAGAAAAAGAAGGTCCAATGGCGGGGAGAGCGGTTTTTATATGGCTAAAAATATATATATATTAATAATTTATTAATATATAAATATATTTATGATAGCGAGAAATTACATTATAGGGTAAGAGCTACTTTTAAATTAAAATCCAATAAAATATGTATGTATAAAATTCATATAACATAATATAAGTAAATAAAAAAAATGGTAATTGAAAATTTAAAAAATTAAAAAATAATTTTGATTTGTGGTTCCCAAATTAGTGGGTTTGGAATTTTGTAAAAAGTCAAAGCAATAATCGGCTATCCGTCAGGGTAGTAATTGCAATCCACTTATTTTAACTTTTCTCGGGTCCTGACTGTGTGTGTAAGCTATTCTTGTGCTCCATTTTAGATTTCCTGTAATCTAATTTTTTAATTTAAATTCAAATTTACTATATTCAAATCTAATTAAATTCCTTTTTATTATTATTCATAAGGATTATTAGGGTTTTGTTATTACAAAATTTTACAATTTTTTTATTTATTTAATATTGCTATATATGAATGAGATATTGAAAATTATGTTTTTATTCGATAAAAATTCACAAAACCCGAACCACATCTCTGTATTGGATTTAAAATAAAATCCAACCGTTCTAAATGGGAAAAATGAGTCAAGTTTCGGTGGACATGATTGAAAGTTTTGTTATCAAAGGCGATTGTGAATATTCATATAGTTTTATTTTATGTTTAGCTACATCACTTTCCCAAGGCAAAAGAACAAGACCAAGACCATAACTATACAAAGAGTGAGGCACCTACGCCCACAATCAAAACTAATATGCTCTCACCAGAGTTCAAGTTTCGTATCACTACCATACCTAATATAACATAATAGCCCTAATTCACCATTAGCATATATTATCTACTTTGGCCTAGTATATATCACGGTTTTAAAATATGTATATTAGGAAAAGGTTTCCAAAACCTTATAAGAAATGCTTCACTCCTTCACCAACCGACGTGGGATCTCAAAGTAATATACTTAATATAAATTTTATCACGGATGTACAAATTTTGGATCAAATATATCACTAATTAACAAAACTAATCATGTTTGCATCCAGACTCCAGGAATTACAAGGGTAACTCAAAAAAAAAAAAAAAAAATCAATTATAAATAAGAAGCCGATATCAGGTTTTCACTCAGCCCATTAGCGAGCTCTCTTCAAAAGGATAAAAGTTTGGTTTGGTTTTACAACTAAACGGACCAAAAATGTGAAATTTACTATTTCTACTCCAGAGCCTCTGGCACCAGCTCTACCGAAGAAGACTAAAAGGAAAACAGACCTGAAAGAAAGACTCGAAGAAACAAGGTGGGGCAAGGACTGCAGCATCAGAGCCTTTCTAGTCGGTCACAATTAAGGTGGTCGTTTTGATCGATATCTTTACCAGAACAGCTTTCTGCCTTACGACACGCAAATTCCCAACGAGATGCGTAGTTTAGAGTCTGCCCCACCACTGACAACACTGTCACCTTTCCACCAATCAGCAGACAGTACCTGAATTTTGCAAAATATCAACATTGTAGAAAAACAATGAACCAAGGCTGCAAAGGGCAAAGGCTACATGGCTAAGGAAAAGAATGGGTACCTTGTCTTTGTGAGAGTCAATTACAGCTAAAGGCCACTGTAAGATGAACAAAACAATATTTCTAGTGAGGCGTGATGCATTTACAATTCAGAACAAACGGTAGAAAGCAAGAATATTCGAGTACCGCAGTTCTTAGATCCCACAGCCTAACTTTCCCATCATAAGATGCAGACAGCAAATGGAAACTAGATTTATCGTGCCACTTGCAAGATGAAATCCAGGATTTATGGGACAGGAATTGAAAGATAGGAGAAGATGTTCCTAAACGGGGAAAAAAAGCAATATTAGAAACAGAAGTGTTTTAGAGGGAAATCTCTTTGCAGCCCTTTTTTCCTATTCCCATATACCTGGCTTACGAGGATCCCATATCCTAACGGTGGGGTCTGAGCCACCAGCAGCGATGAGAGTGGAACCTTCACCTCCAACGTCAAGGCAGTTGAGTGCCTTACCACAAAACTACCAATGAAGATAACTTTTTATGAACGAATTTATCTTTCATTAAGATAATATGAGAACATAAGCCATTCAGAGAAGAGGAACCTTGGCGCTAACTTTACGCTCAAATGCTGCTTCATTGGGTAGGTAAAAACTAATAACATGCTCATAAATGGAGATTTTTCAAGTGTCAAATATTCTTTACTACTACTTATAGTTTTAAATTTCACATTATCAAAGCAAACAAAATGTTGAAGTTCTTTCGCTCAGAGATCAAGCTTTTTCAGACCATATTTCCATAAAACCTGGTTTCTAAAGAAAATTGCATGAAAATGGCGAATGTATATCGTCTTATGAATGCCCACCTCATATATTTTGAACAAAAACTTTAAAAAGTCAAAAGTAAAGTTTACTTCACTAACACTAGCACAAAGAGAAACATAGAGAGAGTTGGGAGACGTACAATATTAAACAAATCTTTGCCTGTCTCGACATCCCATCTTCTTATAGAATGGTCCCACGATGCTGAATAAATTTCTCCATGCTGCGGCCACACAACTGCTGACACACATTGTGTATGGCCAACAAGTGTAGCAACAGAGTCCCCCTGTTAGATATAGAACAAAATTAAATGCAGAAGATAAAAATTGGTTAGAAATAACAGAGAATTATTTTTCGTAAAGGTATGGAAAGAGGCAACTCAAATTAGTCAAGGGGGAGGGGGGGGGTTAGAATTCTAGTCACAAAGTGACTCGACCTATGACCATTCAACGAACTTAAATATTTAACTAGTATAGAGGCATTCCTTATGCTTAGTTCATGACCAAAATCTTCATTTTCCATCATCCCCTTGAAACTGAAGCTTCACAGTAACATGTTCTCCAGTGGTAGACTAATATGGTGTCGTGCAACATGATGTCTAGCCAAATTAACTTGAAAGAAAACAAAAACTACGTTTTACCTCTAACTGAGATTCTTCAACCTGGTCATTCTTTCTTCTCTTTTTAATGGAGACGTTGCCTTCAAAATGAGTTTCATCCGTTTGCCATAAATTGATTGTGCAATCCCAAGAACCTGAACAGATCTAAATTACATAATAAAAAGATCCAAGTATTATGAGCTAGAGATGCAAGTAGACAGTTGTAACTCACTTTTTACTTGGAAGAAATGAAAAAAATACAGAACAGCTAAAAGAATGAGATTATACCAGGTCTCCAGATTTCTGTGATGCAACACTTTGTACAGACAATCTATGTCCTTTCAATATTTTGAATGGCCTTATCTTGGTAGGGTTGCTATCCCTATCGTCTTTTGAATACTTCAAGAGGAAACAACAAAAAAATTGTTTTTAATTATCAATGACATCAGTCCAACTTTAAAGCAGTACTTTCTCAAAGTTACCTTCCACAGCCTAAGTGTTTGATCCTTCGACGCAGTGGCAAGAGTGACACTAGCTGCTTCTGTATTAGCATGGGCAAGAATTAATAAAACAAACATAGAGACTAGACTAGAGAGTGGAATAAGAATTGAAAATAGAAATATCAATTGAAATTTAAACTTGAATTAGATCACCACATTTTACTAAAATAATACAATATAATAAATTAGAAAAAGAGTGGCATTTTACGGGAAAATCAGAGATAGTTCAGAGCCACAAGTTCTTAGAACCATAGATTAACTGTCTCTAAAATGGATAGGATCTAGATAATACACGGCAAACACCACCGCATGCACAAGAAAATAGAAATCCAGACAAAAGGAATTCTAGCACTTTCAGAGGAGAAAACTTGAGTTAAAGAACCTTGGAACGTTGAAGTGCTTCAGCATGTACAACAAATTTTGAATCAAAATTTCTCACACAAAAGTGAATCAAAATTTCCAATATATTAACACACAACATTCTGACACCAGGTGTTAACAAGAAATAACGATAAGTTTGATATAGAAAACAATTAAAAGTTAAAACAACTGGCAAAGCATTGTTCAGCGTGGATCAGGTTGTAAGAGCTAACAATTTAAGTAAATACCTTCAGGATTAACAACACAAACAGAAGATATTGCGTCCTTGTGACCTTCAAGAATATGTGTACACAATCCTGAAGATTCCCAAACCCTAAGAAACAATCGTAGAAGCTTTTAGCTAACATAACAATCCAATTCATGAAACAATAGTAGCAAAGGCTGCTCAATTCATGGGTTTCTTCAAGTACTAAAAAAATATTACAAAAAATTACAGATTACCTTCCTAAGCCATCATAACAACCTGTCAAAATAAACCTACAAAATACGAGTGAGTAGAAGTTCAGATTGTATGTATATAAGTACATATAATATTAAATTAATTCTTTTAATAAGACGTGTCTACAAACTAATTTGAATCCTAATTGTAACGATACAGCAGTAACAGTTCAATGATTGTGTATGTAAGCTGTTACTACTGAAAAAAAGATTCAACACAAACAAATAACACATAGTATGCACATTCAATAAATTACACTATGATGTGCTACATGCAGCGATAAAATACACCAGCTTAGGACAAAAATGGCTCATTGCGTTAGTCTTTATCTTTATTTAACACTTGGACAGACTAATCCAAGAGGTGGAAAATAAATTGACGTCAGTCATTACCACTAAACAGAGATGTGAACAATAAATCTTCAGAACTCGAAAGAATTTTAAATTGAAGCATGGTTACTGAACTTAAAAAAATGGATATGCAAGTAACAATGAGAATCATGTATCATCTAGAGTATTACAATTAACAAAGTAGATATTGCATCCACATGCTTACCCGGAATGAGACCCATCAACTGCACTGACCCAGTCATCGTGAACAGAAGGCTCTTCCTCCCTTCGGGGGACAACAGCCTTAATGTACTCAATTTCCAACACTTTTTCCTATTTTATGCCCAAATAAAAGGTCAGGAAGGTCAGTGAAATATGAAAGTTGAACGAAAAAGAGAGGCTGATGAAGGCTATCAATCATAACAAATCATAACTCAAACTCGGGTTAGATTACGTCTTCAACATAACATATTCCATATAAACAAACTTATATTCTAAGAGTTCAAAAGTTCTTTTATTTCCTTTTCATACAACTTAGGAACTAAGCAATGATAAAAATACGAGTCGCCCGAAACAGTTAAATTCTCACTGCCGATATGCCCTTGGCAAGAAGGAATTGCTCCAACGACATTCTAACAAACTCGCCATCAATTAGAAAATCGAAAGGTTCGGCTTCCCACTCAGGATTCCCTATAGAGAAATTTAAACCAAAGGAGTAAATATAAAGCAAAGAAACGAAGTTCAAATCAAACAGCGAATAACCAGACGACATAGCAGAAAAGATTATAGAACATACCAGCTAAAAGAAGATTGTTAACAACGGTGGAAAGACCCAGTCTGGTTAGGTTAGAGGGAATGGCAATGGCGTTCGTCGGAACTCTGCAAGGAGCCATAAGTTTCGTGATAAAGCGCACTTGAATTCGACGAGAGCTGTCTTCCGAAACCCCATCCATATCCATCGCTACCTCTGCGAATTCAAAATCCAAAAACCGAAGCAAGAAACGTAGAGAGCAGAATCCCGAGTTGCAGAGGTTGAGAAGCAAGAGTTCACAGACAAGATGCTACGAAGTATGGACTTCGTTCAAAAACCCTACTTTCCAAACCTAGGGGTTTTTCATTTATTGTTTTCAATTTCAAGAAAAGAAAACTCCGGTTGGACCGGCACCGGTTCAACTTTTATCTTCATTTTTTTGGGTTAAAAAAATTCATTTCAATAAATTTTAAAATTAGTTTCTACCGATTTAATATTTATCGAAATTAGTGACAGTGTGTGAACACATTTTCGAGATAAAATTAAATATATACTGATTTTTGTGTAAAGAAAAATTAACAATAAATTAATTGTAGAGACTAATTTCAAGTATTATTTAAAATGCAATGGTCAAATTTATACATTTGGAAAAATACACAAATTACAAAATGTGTAGTTTTTAAACTTCTTTTAATTGTATCATTTTTTTTTTTTAACTTTTTGTATTTAATATAATTAAATCAAAAGAGATGTATTTTTTGGGTAATTTTTATGAATGATTATCATGTAAAATGCTGTAAATGTCTCTTATAAAACTAATAACTAAAACATATATATATATATATATATATATATATATATAATTAAATTAAAAGTGGAATGCCCATTGAAAAAAGAAACTAAATACGAAGGAGTAAATTACTCATTTACAAAAATAACTTCATCCGAATGCTATTTGGATAAATGAATTTGAGTATCGAAGTTTTGGTTATTGTGATCTCTTGCTTGCGGTGAACTTGGTAGTAGCATAGGTCAATCTCCGGACTGTTTTTTCAAGGCCTGAACTTGATTCTCACTCACTCCCAGTAGTCTTTGTAATTCACTTGAAAAGTAGTCTATCTTTAAGCTTCCTAATCAACATGTTATACGTCTATCTAAGAAATTTTTACGACACCACTTTTCAAAAGGGATGCATCTATTGAAGAGAAGCATTACAACGACTACCTATATAAGTTATCCAATCAATCATCTACGAGTGCGTCTTTCAAACAAACACACTCCAATCAACCCAACAAATTTACTCCTCTTTCTGTAATTAGTTTTAGGCCAGCCCCTTTTTATACCAAGTACTGTAAAACACTACCACTTTTCTAAATAACCCTTAATTTACCCACTACAAAAGAAGTGGAGAAATTTTAGGTGAAAGAGGTTATAATCAATTAATTGTAGTTTTTCTAAAGATTATGTACAATAGTTCTCATGACTAATCTTATAAAATAAGATAATATGTGTATATATATGTGTATATATATATATATATATATAGATGGTGAATTCCTAGCAGGAATCATGAAATACAAACTCTGTAACAAGCTTTGAAACAGAAGCAGGACTGTCAACATGGGGCAGATGACCACTGTCTGTTATTATTCGCATTATTGCATTTGGTAGTTCACAGTGCAGCCTCTGCAAAACCAAACAACAATATCACTGTTTAAGCACATTTTGTCGGCAAGAACAGTCCACGAATTGTTATTTTGACAAGCAAACAGTTTAAGAAAAAGGAAAACAATACCCTACCGACGTGGCTTCAAATACTCATTTATGTAGTCATCTATTCATAGAAGAAAATTTTAAAAGGAAATAAATGTCTTTTTCTGTGTTAAGCTTCTAATAAATAACTTATAGAACATTCACAAGGACTAAATTGGATTTTTGTATGAAGTTCAGGAAAAAAAAAAAAAAAGGAGAAAACAAGAAGGTTTGAAAGTTCAAGAACCATGAAATGAAAAGCTTAGCAATTTAACAGAATAGATGGTTTCTGTAACAACTCAAGCCCTCCGCTAGCAGATATTGTCCATCTTTGGGATTTCCCTTTCGAATTTCCCTTCAAAGTTATTTAAACACGTATGCTAAGAAGAGGTTTCCACACCCTTATAAAGAATGTTTTGTTCCCCTCTTCAACCAATGTTTGTTTCCTATCTTATTTATAGATTTTAAGTTCATGAGTAAAATCAAAACTCACCACTGCATCTTTATAGCGAATAATTCTGTCATCTTCGCCTGCAATGATGAGTGCTCTGTGCTTGACCTGTTGATTAAGTACAGAGAACAATGTAAATATAACGTTGTCATACAGCAGGGACACGAACTATCTATCATCTGAGCCTATACAAAATATAATATTTGAGAAATTATTCACTTTTTAACCATGATGTTTCATTTCAACTCAAGAATCCCAAACCACTGTGGTCGCAGGTTCAGTTAAGATTTCTAGATTATGTTTAGGAGTAGGTTTGAAAGGAAAACGAATAATACTAATCAAGTAGGCAGCTAAACACCATGAAAAAATTACCCAACATGGTCCTACTATTTCTGATTTGGCCCTTCATTATCCAAAAACCAAGGTTAATGTAAATCATTGGAAATACTGATGGAAAAGTTGAATTTAATTTCTCAGAATATTTCAGCAAATGAAACTCAGATCTATTAAAAAGAGATCCAAAAAATGAGTTAAAATCCAGCTTCGTAATGGCTATTTATGGATATACCTGTTTAATCAGAGAAATTACATTGTAGCCTCCACTGTACATAAAATTAACAGTTGCATCTTCCCACCAAGGCAATAGACAATGTAAACGGCCAACCTAATCCGTACAATAACAATATTGTAAGTAGATTGGCATGTCATCACACACTAACTAAACAAGATAGGAAATCTGCAGCTAAACAAGAAATATCTCACTTTCATATTTATGACAAATACATTTTGTTAAGGTCAAGAAGGATTTGATGGAATTGAAAATACTTGAGTTATAAACGAAAAGATTAAAAAACGACGGCAGGGAAAAGAAAGAGACCATCCATCAGCCAAAGAAGTGTCTGAGATTGTAGGTTAATGCCTTATTTAATGGCATATTTAAAAACAATCTTATACAGGAAGGATACAAGAGAAACTTACATTCGTCCATTCTAAATTTCGAGCAAGTGAAAGTTCATTGAAGGTTAGCTTATTTGCTAAGAGGCGCAACGGGATGCTTTTCAACAAAGAAACCTGATATACAATTCGTTAAAAAGTACCTGTCAGCGCTATACAAGCTTCGGGGCCTGTCATCATGACAGACATTTCCTAAAATCAAGCACTTAAATCTTATTTGAAGAGTAAAGAAAGTCAAATCTGCATACGTAGTTTACTTCGTTAATAACTCCTCAAGTATATTAAATCACATGTTAGGCGGAAATTTAAATCTACAAATCTCCTAGAGAAAATTCGGATGCCTTAACCACATAGATATCCTAGTTGGCAAAAACAAAAAATAAAAGGTTATGGAAAGAGTTTATGTCATGGCGTTTCTTTTTCTAGCATTGAATTCACAAGCTTGAAAGTATTATTGCACATGAGAAGTGTTTAGTAAAACAAAAATTTAACAAGATAACGCAGTACAGAGTAAACAATTTTGTTAGGAAGGCAATAAAAGCTTAAAAACGTTGTTGACTCAGCCAATTTATCATATCTTCCAAAAGTAGTTTAAAATTGTTAAATCGTAATCTGTAAAAGTAATGAAGTTTACAAGAAAAGAAATGGCAAATTAATTACTGGCATGCACTACGTTATGTGCCATGGAGACCTACCCCAGCATATGCTACCACTTTCGGCAGCTTTGTAGGATGCCCAGTGCAGTTGCTATACACACAAGCATTGATCAAAACCAGCTTTTCCACCTGTGAAACAGTCATTAAAAAAATTTTACCACTAAAACCTGACAGACATCGTCTAGAACCGTAAAGAACATTAAAAAAAATAAAAAGTAGAAGATGGAACAAAATTAAGAGCCTGGAAGATGATTCCGGGTCTAGAATTTCCAGGCTGCAAGGACCTTTGTTTCTATAAGTTTGATGCCTTTGTTTCACATAAAATTTTAATGAGATAATTTGGTAAGTATATATTATCAAGATCAATTAGAAAGCACCCTGAAGGATGGTGCTATGTATAAATTTTCAATTCTAAACATCCACCTGTTGTAAACTAGAAATTAAATTGACCAATGACATTGCAATATGGCATGGTAGGCTGATGAGGCAATATGTATGGCAGCAAACTCAATCGCTATGACCAGCAGGCGACACATGGAAGAGCTGTATTAAAAAAAGCGCTAGTTTTAGGCCCTATGCTCGCACATCACATCTGATACATGCACCCCCTTTGTTACTTCCAGACATGCTCGTGACTCAAATGTGAAAACTCCGCGTAAGAGTTTTTCCACTTCCAGACATGCTTGAGACACATGTGAAACCTCCATGCAAGAGTTTTTCCACTTCTAGACAAGCTTTTGGCTCGCATGCGCAACGTCCACGAAAGGTTGTTTCTCTTTTAGACACTCCAGATCCAAATCCCTTTCTAGAATGGTTTTCCGTTTTTCCCCTTAATTTCCCACAATTTATCTCCTCCCTTGGATCTGTTAACCTCGATCCAGTGGTCAGAGTTAACCCAACCTTACCAGCCAACCTTCTCCTCCAAATCCTTTTTTACTCGCTCTCTTCTCTAAATAAAATTCCCCATACCCTATTCCTCAACTTCAATTTCCTTATTATTTTTGTGAGAGAACTTTATAGCGAGTATTTTGAAATTGGTTTTTTGTGAAATACTTGCCAGTCTGTGTCTGGAGGTTTTTGAAATTTCTTTCTTCTTGTTGGTTTGAACTTGTAACGAGGTGTGTCTAGAAAGGAAATTGATGGGATTGAGAACTAACACAGAAAAGAACTGGAATTTCTTTTCAGCCTGAAAAGAAAGCAGAAGAAAAAAGGTTTTGTACGTTTTGATTCTCACTGGCAAGAGGAGTGTTACAGACTTATAGTGAACTTCTTGAGGAAAAGCCTAACGGACATAGGCTTCATTATAAGTCGAACCACTATCTGTTGGAACTTGTATAATGGTATCGAGTTCTCAGAATAAAAAAAAACATATCAGAACACAGTATCCTTCATCTCATACATAATCAAAATAAAAGAGTTGCAATATAGAGCAATGATAATAAGTGATATCCAACAGTTCATTGGCGATAATAACACAGTTTCCTTCATTTCTTACACATCTAAGGATAAAGTAATCATGTGATATGAGAGCTAATCATGTGATATGAGAGCTCGAACTACATTGTTCACATTCTTCATGCACAAATTCTCAGTATACTTGCATTACTCTAGGCTAGATAGAAAATAAATACTTACAGCTTCCGGATGATTAACTGCAAAGTCAAGTGCAACAGCTGCACCAAGGCTTGGTCCAACTAACACCATTGGCCTCTTGATGTAGGACTTCCAAAACTAAAACCCAAATTAAAATTTAATTATAGTCCAAAACTACTGTTGTGAATCCAAGCCATTACATCAACAAATAAAACTTCACAAAGAATGATCATTCTCCAAGTTTCAAGCACTTTTCAGACGTAAGAACACATGAGTAAATCGAGACCCCATTAATCCTTATAAACAAAGCAATGTGAAGAAGGTAAAGTGATTAACCTGGTACAGATGAGAGCGCTTCGTTTGCACATTACATGGAGGAAGACTATCTAGTATACATTAGTATAATCAGGAAACATATAAGCGTGAGAAACGTTTTTAGAGTTTATAAAATACAATTAGGAAGCAGAAAATATAAACAAATGAACTCACCCAAGTCAGAAAAGCCCCATCCAAGAACATCAACAGCCCACGTTTCTAGTCCAGCCTCTTCAAGAAGAGGAAACGCATAACTCCATTCCAAACAAGAACTGTGTGATAAAAAGCAATGAACACATACCACGTTAAATGGAAACAGTACATATTTAAAAAATTAATAGAACAAATCTTGATGATTCCAATACAGACCTGTCAAAGCAATGGAGTAGAACCACTGGACTCTTCTTGCTTCTTATTACTGGTTTAACACAGCTGCTCATAAGGCGAGTTTCTGATAATGTGATCTGAAAAAAGGGACAAGTAGTATAAAGGATCATAGTGCAAATAATCTTCAATGAAGACGAGAAGAGACACAGTGGGTGGGGAAAGAAATCCACCCATCTCCAAATCTCTCGCAATGGATTCCCAACGTACAATGGCGAAGTGAATTCGAGTCCAGTTTCTAAGCAGTAGAAATCACATTGTAAACGAATCTTATAGCTCGATTCCTTCTCAGACGCTGACAAGAAAGTAAGCACGCAGTATACACGAGAAAGGCGATTATCACGACGAGAAATTCCGTGGTTGTTTTTGGTTTAATACTACAGGAAATAGACGTTGTTCGAAAATCACAAAGATCAAATCAAGAGAGGAAAAAATAAGCCCGCGAGAGAGACGTCTCTAACAAGAACAATGATCGTCACAGTGCTTTACCATACTTCAATTTCATCTTCAAACCACTCGATAAAAAAAAGGCAGACAAAACCAAAACAATTCAAGACGAAGAAGAAACCGAATAAGACACAGAAGAAGCAGAAACTAGGAGAAACAAAAGCAAACTCCTCTGTGTAAGATCAATGCACCATTGATTTCATCCAATAAAACACAAGAAGAGAAAGAATAGTGAGAGAGAAAGCGTTCTACCGGTAGCCTCTCGATTTTGCGAGCCATGGTTCTAGCAAATGGATCTTTGATTTTACCGACCTCTTTAGGAAGAAACGAAGGGAAACCACCACAGTTTCCATCAGATAAAACATCTACAATTCCAAGACCTTCACATTTCGCGGACATTGGCGTTCTCGTAAGCTGGTGAAGCGCCAATGAGGGGAACCCCCACTTCAAAATCATGGTTCGACGACTAAAACTGAAGAATGAAAGCCAGAAATAAAGATTGCATCAACATCACTAAAAAAAAAGGGCACCATGGAAGTAAAATGAAGAAGAAGAAGAAGACAAAGTCAGACTGTACGCTGCGTTGGCGCTTGATTTCGACCATACACGAGCTAGAGTTGCGTCAGCTTAGTTCTTCTTCTGCGTCTGTAACCGTTTTTGGGAACTTGAGCTGCTAAATAAAAAAGGCAATTCAAAGCTTCTGCAAACTGCTTCCACTGAACGGCCATGAACGAGTAAACAACATGGTTGCAGATTAATTAAGGTGGCAGAAATGGCAATGAACAACGCCCTGGTTTCGGTTTGATCTTAATGAATCGTTGTTCTTTTTAGAAGATGAAAGATTCTCACGCAATATTGTGCACTCTGAGCATACCATGACTCATACCTATGAAAGAGAGAGTATTCAACTTGGGAACTTTTATCATCCAACCGTTCTAAGGGAAAGATTATACAATCATTTTTAGAATATATTTCGTGGCCTTGTTTCTGATTTTTTTCAAAAAGAATATATTTCGTGGCCTTGTTTCTTATTTTTTTCAAAAAATTCTAAAAATAATAGTATCACACGACTCTCCACAATGGTATGATATTGTCCACTTTGAGTATAAGCTCTCATGGCTTTGCTTTGGGCTTCCCAAAAGGCCTCATACCAATGGAGTTAGTATTCCTCACTTATAAACCCATGATCATTCCCTAAATTAGCCGATGTGGGACTTTCATCATCCAACATCCCTTATTGTATTCATAATCTTATGAAAGAAAAATAAAAAAATAAAATTGTGTAAGTTATGATCAAAAGTGTATCAGTATATTTTTTGCTTTTATTTTTATGAAATATAATTGTACTTTTATTAATTACCATTTAAATCTTGATCGTTATTATTTTTTAAATAATTTAAATAATGAATATTATTCTTATTATTAATGATAAAAAAAATTTAAAAATTATTAATAAAAGTCAATAATTTTATCTTTATTGACCCCTAAAAAAAATTATATTAGAAAATTACACCTACCATATTTAAAGGTGGATAATTCAAGTTGAATGAATATTCGAGATTTATGTCGATTAAAAATAAATATTTATTACTTATACTAAAATATCATTTAAGTACATTATCTAAATACATTAAGCTTCGATGATAATATTAATAATATGCATTAAGTTTTTTTAATTTTTAAATTATTAATTTTGAAAATAATATTTAATGTCTACCTACTAAATTTTAATGCTAAATCTTTAAATAAACGTGAAACATCCAAACAAAAAATAATATTTTTTATTTCTCTTTCACTCAAAACGTCTATTTTCGTATTTACTAAAATTATATTGTCAGAGAAAATAATTTTTCTCTCTTATAAAAAAAAAAAAAAAAATCTCTGAGAATAATATTATTTTTGGAAAAAAAAAATATATTTTCCTCGTTCGAGACACCTTTATGAGATTAGCAAACTTAGTGATATATTTTTTACTTTCACTATTATTATTGTGTAAATTAATTAGTATTATTATATTGATTTTCTATGGATATTATTTGTTATATTTTTCTAATTATAAATTTAATTCCTACCTTTTTTATAAAAAAAAAAATCGAATTTTGTAATTTTACACGTTAAAATTCGTTTTTATAATATGATACTATGAATTATAGAAATAAAATTTTAATTTTTAAAAATATAAAGCTTAAATATAATTTTTATTCATAAACTTTAATTTATTTAAGAAAGCTCAAAATAGGTTATAATTAAAAGGACCACATTGAAGTATAATTTGGACTATCATTATTAAATTCATTGATGTAAAGTTCCAACAAACAAAGGTGTCGTGTTGTGTGTGAAGACGGTTCCACTTTCATTTTGAAGGTGGAAAATGTGATTTTTTATTTTATTTTTTGAAATTATCGAGATAATTAATAATCGATCGGACCTTCGATTGGACTACATTATGATTCTTGTTTCAATGGATTTTTTTTAGTTAATATTTCTCTCTTCCCTCCAACGTACTTTGTTACCACCATCGTTTTTCTCCCTCCGTTCCTCGTTGCTGCTCTCTCTTTAAATTTGGAACGAAGAGGCATTTCAACTTCTTCCGCAATCACTTCCCTCTTTACAACTAGTTTTGGATGAAACGGACGGTACTTTCAAGGTGTTTCAAAAATACTTCTCTAACTTGTTGTTGCATCAATCTTTACAAAACTTCAATCTAACTTGTTGTTGTTCGACTTCCTTCAACTGTTTACCATTTTTAATAGAAAAATAGTGTTGTTGCATCAATCGAATGCCTCTTCAAATCTAGAGTGAAGAGACTCTTTAACATTTTCATTTCAAGTTTGGAATGTAACGATCTGATTTTTAAAATAGTTTACTAAAATTATTCTCTCGTGCATGCTAAGGTCAAATATCCAAAAAAATCTGAAAAATCATTATTAAATAGCTTAAACTATATAAAACAAGTGACATGATATAACTGATCATGCATTTTTCATATAAGTATTTGTTAGGAATCACGAACCTCCGGAATGATATGATATTGTCCACTTTGAGCATAAGCTGTCATGACTTTATTTTTTGTTTCTCAAAATGTCTCGTACCAATGAAGATACCATTAATTACAAATCCACTTTTAAAGAAAACCCAGCAAATCAAGATGATAACGTTGGATTGGATCAAACACAACGGTACACAACGGTACGACGTCGTTTGAGCTGGACCAGCCGGTTCAAAGTATTAAAGGCCGGTGGAACTCGAAGTCAACGAGATTCCGAAAACATTGACCTGGAAAGCCCATTTTGACCCATTAATGACTACTGAATTTACTTTTATACCCCCAACTTTCTTTCGGGCTTTTTCATTCATTTTTAAATCGTGTACATAATCATAAATTTAATTTTAAAAAAGAAATTATATAGAATTAATTTTATTCCAATAATAAAATAAAACCAAAAATTAAAAGGATGAATCTGTTGAGAAACAGTTAAAGGGTAGAGTGAATACAAAGAAGTTGGGAATGATCATCTCCGGTTGGTGTTGGCCAGTGATTTTGGAGATCCCTCAAACAGATCAAGAAGGAATCCCTCCAAATCATCTGGAGTGTACTTGATCAGCTTGTCACTTACATGATTATTACATCTTCCAAAGAATGCTCGGTACGCCGGGATCACTTGGAGCGACGTCGAGATTCTCAGGTCGTCTCGAAGCCGAGAGTCGTGAATGATCCATGACGTTTGAGTTTTGTAGATCTCTTCGAACGCGACATTGAAGCTACGCAGCCTCTCTTTCAGCACGTTTCTCGACACTGAATTAGAACCCGGATGTTGAACCCCGTCCTCCATAAGGTATAACACTATTGAATTCCAACTCGCCCTCTTGTAGTTTAATACATGCTGCTGGAAGTTCATGTAACGTTTTCGAACCCAATCCTCCCCGAATATCTGGCTAAGTTCCGAACCTCGAACCTTTTGAGCCATGTAATGTATATTGTTCATCAGAAAGAAGTGCTGTAGAGCTGGATCTTTGTATTGCTTCGACTTCTCTTCGAGGTTACTCTCTAGAATTGTTGCAACCAACCGAAAATGGCGAGCCATCGGAGAGAACTCGCCTTCTTTTTCTTCTTCTCGACTTGGATTCTCAGAGGACGATGGTGAATTAGGATATACATCTTCACCGTCTCCGAGGAGCACATTGAGGGAGTTGCCATAGTCGGTAAGAATCAGAAGGTAATTCATGACATATTTCGTTAGATGATGGATGCCACCACCTGCAAATGCATTCGGCGATGTGTTTGCTGCAATAGCTTTCCCGAACTCGAGGAATGTCGCTGTAACGGATTTACCTAAACTATTTAGAACATCATGATATTCAATTCTAACAAAATATCCAACACCACCGCAGTATAATGTATCGATGTCGGAGAGATGCTCTCCGACAACCTCGTACATTTCAAGTATACGATTCAGTTTTTCGGGCGGATGAGGACCTATAGCCATGGCCTCGCCGAAGTTCAGAAGCTGCAGCATTGATGCCTTCGATGATTCGACAAAACAACTCAAACTAACCAATCCTTCATCCCCAAAAACTTGATCACAAAGGAATTTTTCACTCGCTAAATAGACTCGCACGAATCGCTTCATCGCTCGGTTCCATTTCCTGATCTTCGAGTTCAACGTAACCCAATCCATTTTCAGCACATCCTCAATACTCATTTTCTCCATTTCAAGCATCGATAAGCACTCGTTTAAAGCCTCTCGACGAAGATGATTATAAGCTTGAATACACTCCTGATCATAACCAGCCTTGAACATAACATTAGCAATACCTCTAAGCTCAATAACCGCATCCGAATTGACCAAATCAATGATCGAATTCTCCAACGTTCTCCCAACGCTACAACTCCGAACTGAACTCTCAAAAGATTCATCTCGATATAAACTCGTCGATCCCTCCTCCACAGAATCTTCCGTTACATGGGACGACACACTCTCAGGCTCATATTCAAGGCTACTCTTAGCAAGCAAATGCCTAAACTCTTCCTCAAGCCTCGCCATAGCCGTTTGAAGAACATCGTGCGCCTTCCTCGAAAGTTCATAACCGTGTTCATCCTCAAAACACAAACTCTCTAGCTTCCCAACCAACTCCCAGGCATCATCAGCAGCATTCAGATACTCGCACGCATCGTTCGGGAAAGCCGAATCCCAAATCATAGACTGATCAGCCTCCCATCCCATGATTTTCTTCTGCACTACATTGAGCCTACTCTCAATCTCTTCAACAAGCCCAACATCCCTCTCTTTGGTCACTCCAATTTGATGATTTTGTGTGGTTATTAATGATAACTTTGAGCAAAGATCAACCATAACGCTCTTGGTATCATCTGAAAGGCTTATATTTGAACTCAAAGCCTTAATAATGCAATTAGCTGCAGCAATTAGCCGCTCCTCTACTCCTAAATCCGAACCCATAAACTCACAGTCCCCCATATGCCAGAAATCAACAACAAACAGAGCCCAACAACAACAAGCAGTATCAACAAAGAAATGGACACCAAAAACAAAAGGCTTCAACCAATTCCGCTCCAAACAGAGTGAAAACTCCTGCAGAAACCAAATTAGAAGAGGGTTTTTGAGGAACAATATCAAAGTTCAAGCAATCAACTAATAAATCAGCTAATCGATTCAGAGAAGATCTAGAACGAAACAAACCCTGAAGTTCGGGGAGAACAAGGAAGTGTACGAACCTCGGAATCTGCAAATCTGAGAGAGATGAAGCTCCAACAATGGCGGCTAAGTTTCCTCTCCTCGAATTCGAAGCTTTTTTGTTCTGGGTGTTCGGATTTTAAAGCTTTTTGGGGTTCTTTTTTCGCTTTTTTGCAGGAAAATACTCAAGAATTTCGATGGATCTTCCGTCGAAGGACGTGGGGTGGAATATAAAAGTGATGGAAATGGAGGCTTTTGGTTATTTATTAAACGGAAATTTGGAAATGGTCAGTATTCCCACTTGTTGACTGACCAACGACAGGGTTTTTCATTTTGTATTCTTGTTCATGAGCTGAGAGACAGAGCCTGTTTTTTTAATATTAATATTTAAATCATACAAATTAAAGGACGAAATTAGTATTAAAAACTTAAAATTTTATTTTTATTTTAAAAGAATTACCATTTATTATTAAATTTGAAAATAAATTAATTTCATTTAAATTATAATAAATAATATAGATATTTTGTGAGATCTCATATTCGTTCCCGGTTTTGCTTGTAGTCGTTGTCTTTAGCTTATGTAGTGGTCGGCCTTCCCTTCCTACATGCACGCGCCCGCCAGAATGCCTCCTTGGTTCTGCACAAAGCCAAGCCAATACATACAATAGGCGAAGTCAAGACCCCCATTTCATAGCGCCTGGGGAACGCAAGTTTGATCGAGGATTGAAGAGGTGGAAGAAATTGGTATGGATTTATGAGTCTTTGTGCTAGCCGTATGCGGTGAGAGTCGCACGTACGGTAACGAGGGGGGTTCGCGTCTATACGTGTAGTGTGGTGTTTGGGCCTACCCACCCTATTTGTTCCATGATCTATGGGTCTACTGGAGCTACCCACTTCGATCAATTAGCCAAGATTTTGACCGGATACGAAATCACTAGTGCTCGATCTAGTGGTATTTTTATGGGGATTCTATCTATCGTTGTAGGATTCCTATTCAAGATCACTGCAGTTCCTTTTCGGGCTGATGTAGGACGGACGGCCGCCTATAGGTGGTAGGGTAGGGTTGGTGGTACCGCTCAGATTGTGGCCAATCTTCCTAACCACGCGCGGGCCGGACTTAGAGTGCGTGAAACTCATCACTACCTCGTAAGGGCGTTGAGACCATAGCATGTTACACAAGAAAACTAATCCTTCTAAAAAATCTATTTAATATATTTATTTTAAAATAGGTTATGGCTATATATAACCGATCAAATGGATAATATCTGCTAGCTAGTCCGGCCCTCATCCGACAGTGTCGTGCGAGATTGGTTTTGAGAAAAAAAAAATAATAAATAAAAGAAAAGTTTGTGGACATTATCAGTTGGGCCGACATGGCCCAAAGTTGCCTTTTATCTTATCATTTATCATTTTCTCTCTCTTCATTTAAAAAATATATATTTTTCTCAATATGGTTTTGTTATTATGAAAACAAAAATATTTGCAAACGAATTTTAAAAATATATATAATAAAATAATAATAATAATAACGTTGTGAACCAATAAGTAAGGAAGTCAACGCTATATTGGTCAATATACTAGATAGAGGACAACTTTTAAGTTGACTAAGTCAAACTACGAGTTAATGTGAACTAACTGGAAGTTGATGTTGTTAACTAATTTGGAGATGAGTCGGTTACATTAACCAATTAGAATGGAATTGGTTGATGACATTAATGTTATTAATTCGTTATCAATCATACATATTTTATCTGATTGAATACACGTTAATTGATGTCTTGTTCGTTTTAAATACGTTATATTAAAATTTTCAATGCTGATGATTATAACTATAATTAAATAGTTCGGTAAAGACCGTCATTGTTATAATAATAGTTACTTATACTTTAATAATATTAAATTTTAAAGACCACCGTTGTTGTTTCATGTTTGTTCGATCATATTTTTTTCAGTTTAATTCAGTCATATTTAATTTTTTAAGCTCGTTATTATGCTATTGTTCATGACCTCCCCGACACAGCTTTTGATATTAACATCAGTTTACCACTTCTATTTTTTCGCGATCGAACTTTCAATTAGGGTTTCCTTAATTCTTTTTAGGGTTAGGACAATAAAAGAACCAAAATTAGACTAGACTAAGAACATATAGATGGGGAGATGCTTGGTGTCATGATCATGCTTGTCCAAAGCGTGTTACCTACGATCGCGTGTTCGTTACATGCCAAAACCTTTGTGATGTATCATTTTACTGCTTTCCTTTACCGCTTTCATAATGTATAGTTTCTTATTGTATTTTTTTAAGTATATGACATTTCGGCAGAATCGTGTCTACGCGTTGGAAACCCTGAATTGCCTCAGAATATACTATAAGGGGATGCGACCCGTCCTCAATTCTTTCAACCTGGAGTTATATGCTATTTAAACCGTTGGGTTACATTTTCCACTTATAGCCTATAACATTGCTTTCTTCATTTCTCTCAAGATTCGTTTCGAACCTTTTTTCTAAAATCTCTCTCTGTCTCCGTTTTCTAAAACTTTATTTTTAAAGTAGGATCATAGGCTTGGGTATACGTGTCGTTAGGTTCAAGACGACACGATTTCGAGTGGACAGAGTCAATAATTTAAATGAAAAAATAAAAAAAAAAGTTCATGGTGCAATGAAGATTTGTCACATTTTAGAATTATGACTTAAAAAGAAATTCACAATTACATAATGATCCCATCGTAAATTACTTCTATCCCCTTTTCTCCTTCCCCAATCCCCAAATCTGCTAATAGTTTCAAAGAATTAGAACATTACATTCCACCAATTTCTTCCTTCCGAAGAGAATCATGAAAATGGGATTTCAAGATTTTGGCAGCGGTTCTCCTTTGATGAAAGATTTGAAAAGCTGAAGAGCTGCTCTTGGTTTGAACAACGGAACTTCATGCCCTGCTCCTCTCACTGTTGCGAAGGTAAGCCCTTCATAAACCTCTGTCCAACCTCCCACCTTCATCAAAACCAAAAAAAATCCACAAATTTTGATTTCATTTCCCAATTCAGTCACCCATTATCATAGATTTTGTTTCTTTGAATTGGTTGTTTTGATGTTCATATTGAAATGCAATTCAATGAGGTGGAAAACTGACCTGGTTTTTGACATACCATGGATACCATGGAACTTTCGTAGTTAATTTCAGCTGTGAAATGGAATATCTTGTTGCTGTTACAGGCACCACTGAGTCCACATCTCCACTGCAAATAGCAAATCATATCCAAGAAAATTGAGCATATCAGGTGTTTGACAAAATGCCCAAAAGAACATGAAATGTCTTTATTAGCATGATTCATTGATAGATATCATTTCCAAGAAATTGAGCATCAGGTGTTTGAGAAAATGCCCAAAAGAAATGAAATGTCTTTATTAGCATGATTCATTCAGAGATATCGTATAAGATAAAGAGATTTAACCGGTACGAATTGTCCTAGTAATCATTGGCTATAGCATATGAATTGGAAGCATTATCCTAAGAGATTAATCAAAATGAGTAGTATCAATGAAAGATGGGCACAAACATGTAGAAGCTGACTAACCTGAAAACCCACACTCTCATGCCACTTGATATCAACTCCCTGTAAATTGGAAGGATCGATACGTCGGTGTCATTCCAATTTCGGTTCAAGATTTCGCTGCACAAAAGGAAAGGTTGTTTGTTTGTTCATGGCAACAAATATACTCATGGGCATAATGCACTCTTTACCTGCAAGCAGTCCATCTATAAGGAATTTTTGTTATGTTGGCATGAAGAGCTTTCTGTACATCTGGCCTATTGTAGTATATTTCTGCATATTTCTCAGTACATGGATCATAGCCGGCCATTTGCCTGAATGCCTGATAGATAGTTCATGAACTCAACATTATTAATGACTTGAATCTCTTTTTTTTTTTTTTTTTTTTTTTTTTCTTTTCAAGATGATTTGGTTTGCAGCATAAACAGAGAATAGATACCCTGTGAGGTCGGTGAGGCAATCGCATTGTACTCTGACGGGTTGCGAGGCTACCGTCCGAGTGGTTGCAAGGAGGTGCATAAATGTTGTACTGATCAATGTTCCCAAACTCTTTATCCATGGCATAGGTGTACAAGGACTCACACTCGTTCGATTCCTTTTGTCGACTAAAATCACAAGTGTTAATGAGCTCGTGGTACGTCTTATCCGAGATCATAGCATGACTCCACCAGTAAGTTACTGTCCCTAAGTTGTCGTAGTAGTTGTCTGTCACAGCATTGCCAACCTGCGTTTCATTCACTTTTCATTCCACATAGCATTCATGATTTACATCAAGCTAAGATTCACTCCGCTTCTAACCCAGATATAACATAATGTACGAGTTCGTGTTTCGAATTGTAACAGATACAAAGTGATTGGCACAACGAAATGAAAGTACAGTGGCCCGAAAAGCCATGAGAGGAAGTTACCATGATTCCCTTGAGATGAATAGGGTGGGAGGATTTTGCATTGTAGGCCAAGATTTCTCTGGCAAGCTGAGGAACATAGTGACCAGCATAGCTTTCTCCCGTGAGAAAAACGTCGCAGTTCTTGTACCTCGGGAAACGATCGAGCCATCGCACGAGGAATTCCAGAGAATCCTTCGCTGAAACAATGTTTATTGATCAGGTACATATAATTCAACTAGTCTAACTTGAATCAAAATGCAAAAGGATTGAACTTTAGCTCCCAAAAGAGAATATGCAGAGTACTTTCCATAGTACAATGGAAGTGTTCAACAAAGTTTGAACATCTTAGAATCTCACTTTTAGCTAAATAATTCAGAGGCCATTCTTTAAACACATACCATTCAAAAATACAAAACAAAATAACTTTGAAATTCGAAAAATGAAAATTAAAATTGAAAATTCGACACACATCGCGTTTAATAAATCTTTAAAAAGAAATTAAAAGCGTTTATTAAAACTTAGAATTTCTAATTTTATGTCTGATAGTTTTTTTAGTTTATTAAGACATTTTAGTCTATATTATAATTTTTTTAATAATTGACATTGGGTTAGATTTGTCTAATTTAATTTCAATAACATAATAATATACAAGATTAAAACCTTTATAAATATTTTTTAAAATTTTAAAAATTTATTAAACATTTTTCAAATTATTTGTCTATTAACATAAAATCAACTGCGGTTGAGAGCATTCTATTCTGATGCAGTCGACAAAACTAGTCGTTTATCAAGGGTGAATATGGCTGCCACGACTCACGCTCACACGGAATTAACTAGATGTGAAGCACACTAGCCACGCCGCGGTCTGAAAAGATTTGGTCAACTATTTGGAGAAAAAAAAAACTAAATAATTTTTTTTTTTTTTTTTTATGAAATTTATGGTGAAGTGACAATTCAATTGTTGAGTGCCGTGAATCATTTAATTTCAGAACTAAAATTTTTGAATTGATATTTGGTCAAGATTTTATTTATTATAGAAAACATATTTTTTTAAAATTTACAAAAGTNATCTTTCTACAAAAAAAAAAAAAAAAAAAAAAAAAAAAAAAAAAAAAAAAAAAAAAAAAATCACTTTTCAAAATAAAACTGTCAAATCAGATTTTAGAGTTTATGAATCTGAAAAGCTATTATGTACTTATTAATTATAAAAATAATATTTAAAAAAATATACATTTTAATTTTTTTTTTTTTTTTTGGTCTGAATTAAGTGTCTTATGATTTAGATTTTCTTATTAAGTAATTTTAAAAATATTTATTAAACATTAAAAATTATATTGTAACTTATAAAAATAAAACAATAACATTATTGTGAGTCTAAATATTTGAGGAGATGAAATAAGAGGAAGATACCAGTACGATGGTCACCCGTATCGAGCAAGTCAGAGGAGCGATTGGTATAGGAGAACCCGACCCCGGCCGGAGTTTCGAGGAAGAGGAGGTTGGCGACGGAGTTCCAAGAGAACTTGTTGGTGACTAGGCCGGAGGCCGTCTTATTGATTCTAAATGGACCAATTTCTTCCGAAGCTCCATAGGCTATGGAGGAGCAACCCGGACCTAACAATTCAATCAAATAACAATTATTACAATTATTCTTTTAATGAAAAATAGTTTTTCTAAAACCAACAAATAAATAAATTATGAAAATGAGCTTCTCTGCGCTCCACATGACCGGAACGGCCGGTCAAAATTGGTTCATCATCAAAGTCATGCTTCAAAGCATAAATGCCATGTGACACATAATGGAAGCAAATGTTACTTACTCTTTACTCCATATAGATATGCATTATTCTTTCTTTTTTTTTAAATTATTATTATTTTTCCGACACTCGATACTATCAGAGAAGTTGAGCGGTGAAAAAGAGAGACAATAATGATGAACGAACGATAAAAATCACTTTTCAATATATCTACTAGTAATGACTCAAGTTCAACAATTTCAGTTTCTAATAATAACTCAAGCCCACCGCTAGCAGATGTTGTCCGTGTTAACCCATTACATATCGCTATCAGCCTCATAATTTTAAAATACGTCTTCTAGAGAGAAATTTACACGCCCTTAAAAAGAATGTTTTATTCCCCTCTTAAATCGAGCACAATAAAATTTGATAACGTAGTTAGAGAGGTTCGAAGGTGGGCAATGGCATTGATGGTTTTGGCACCAAATACATAGCTGACAAGATAAATGGCAGCTGCCCTTGTCCTTGTCCTTTTATTTATTAGTAGGAGGCCCTCTTCCTTTTTGCTTGACTTTATAATTATAAATAAACGTCTAAATAATCGACAGTGAATGAAAATAGTATTAACTTGAATAAATCGTTAGAAACATTTTCACTATATTGATGACGGGTGTTCGTGTTTAATAATAAATAGACTTTTTTTTTATTTTTTTTAAAAGGGTAAAAGACACAAATTTCCAATCAAAATAAAATATTTTAAACTAAAATACAAGAATAATAATTAATTAAATATTTTTGAAAAGGAAAAGAGAAATTATTTAATTTTGAAAAATATATGTATTTAGTATTACTTGTACAACCAACTGGTGGTTGGATCATCATTCCAAGCCACAGTCGGGCAGTCAAGTATGAGAACCCTTCTCTCTCTCTCTTTCTCTCTCTTGCCCTACTTGTTTAGGGCAGTTTCTCTCTCTAGTTTATTTTAGGGCTTTTATGATTGTGTGATGGGGAGTTATTAACCGTGCATGTCCTTTTACTGCAGTAAATAAAACTAAGTACTACCCACCACAAACGGCTAAATTTCAATTTCAATCCAAATTAAATAAATAAATAAATAAATCCTCTCATTTTCAAAGCCGCAATTAAAGTTTTTACACAGTTCCAAGAATTTCTCTCTATATTTATATTTATATTTATTTTCGTCTCATAAATATCATAATATCTTGTCGGCAACGGAAAATTAAATTTTATAAATTGGAGCCACAGCTAATTTTAATTAATGGGGCTTCTTTTTCCTTTTATAGAACGTCGACTGTAATGGGTTTTACTAGAAAAAAAAAATATATTTTTTATAAATTTAGTTTTATTATTAAATTTTAATTAAAAAAATTAATTGAATTAGTTGGTAGAGGAAAAAGACAATTGAAAATCATGTTACTCCAATGCAGCCGATGAAACAGTGCCTACATTTTTTTTTTTAATTTTTTTTATTATAATTCTTAATTTACTAAAAAAATAAGTAATAATAATAATAATAATAATAATAATAATGTGTAAAGGATGGGGAGAGATTGAGACTGACCTCCATTGAGCCAGATGACGAGGGGCTTGGAGAGGGGTTGGAGGGAGGCTTCAGTGAGCCAGTAGAAGAGGGCTCGACCTGCCACGTGGTTCACGGTCACGTACCCGGAGAACTGCTCGAACGACACCTCCGGCTGACCTGGCAGGCTGGAGATTCTGTCCGCCGCGGCTGCCTTTTGTTCATGGCTTCCGGCGTGGCCGTGAATGGGAGAAGAAATGAGTTGGAGGAGGAAAAAGGCGGTGGCTGTGAAGTAGATCTGAGAGATTGCCATCACGGTGGCGGACCACGGCGGAGAGGGTGGCGGAGGGGTTTTTCTTTTTTTTCTTTTTTAGTTTGTGTGTGTGAGAGAGAGTTTGACGGGGAAGACTGGTTTTCAGTGTGGATTAAATAGAAAACAGAGAGAGAGAAATGAAGAAATGTTTTTTTTTTTTTTTTTTTAATACTTATTTATTTAATTTTATTATCTAATTTTTTTTTTTGGGTATGAATCGGTTTTATTGAATGTTATAATTCGTAACCGAACTCTTGAGGTATAAACGGTGATTACCATGATAACGCCTCATGTCTAACATTCAGATCACACTTTGCAATTTAGATTCAGCATTTAATGGTTCTAATATTCTCTTACATTACTTAAGATATAGTCATGTTATTGGTTCATCTTGAAACATTTTAACAGTGAGTAAGATAATCGCATGCTAACACGTGTACTTTTAACATATTTTGCTATGGCTTACATATTACGTAGAAAAAATTCTCGGTACCTTACTGAAAATAAGATTATTTCAAGTAAAATACACTTAATTTTGTAATTTTTACGACTAAGACATCGAAAAAAATTACAACTTATTTTTCAATGACAAAACTACGTGCTTATGTTGAAAAATTTACGTTGGTATATATGAATAGTTTTTACTATTATAAACATTTTAAGACAAGTAGATAACGTGGTCATATCCCAAGGAAAGAATACTAACCAAAATTTCAAAAATACCCTTTTAAACATGGAATTTATTTAACTCGTATTTTAGATGATTCTCGTGGGATTACAATTTTTTCAAGAAAAACATAATTAAATTAGGTGAGTGCCCATATCAAGTCTTGAGCATATAATTAATCTTTGATAATTATATATCCATTTGGAAATTAGTTTGATGTGAAATTATCCTCTGCTAATCCTCCATTAATTCCACTAAATAAATTTAATCACAATTTGCTTGAAAACATTTCCCCCATTTTCTGCTCTTTTCCATTGTCCAATAATAAATGTAAATTATTATATATTTCTATTTTTCATTTAACAATAATAATAATAATAATTTGTCATATGTGTATTTTTTTAAAAACGAACTATTTATTTATCCCTTGAGGCAATTATTGGGTATTCAAAGAAGGGACTGATCATGTACTAAAAAACAAAGACCAATAAGATATCAAATATTTTGTATCATTTAATTTATAAGATAAAAAAACATAATAAAAACAAAGGAAATTATTGATGCTTGCCTTCAATTTTTTTTTTTTTTTTTTTTTTTTTTTTTTTTTTTTTTTTTTTTTTTTTTTTTTTTTTTTTTTTTTTTTTTTTCTCTTGGGGGGAAAAAATTCTCAAGCAATTCACTCGAGCATAGTTCAAGTTGTCTCGAACAATATTATTGCATCACTTCATAAGATGTAAGTTTCGATATTCTTCATTAAAAATTCCAAAAATTATTCGGGTATTTTTTAAAAAATTATTTTAATTTAGTGTTTATTAGTTTTAATTGCTAAACTAATTATTTTGTTTTAATCTATACAATTTGTATATAAATTTTCTGTTAAAAAAAATTATATTGAAAGTTGACTAATTAATTCCCTTATTTAAGGGATTGTACCAATATTTTTTTAGATTACGAAATATAAAAAATGGAGAGAAGTAAATTACAAGTTTAGTCTTAAATAATAAAAAAACTATCTAATATAACCTTCATTTTTGAGTTTGTATTTAACATGTGATTAAACAATAAATATGTCTAATAAATTTGGAGTAATTAAATCTTAAAAAATAATAATTGATTTATTAGATAAAATAAAATCGTAAACTTAAATGATGTATGTTGGAGGTTCCATAAATTAAAAAAAATGTAAAATATATCAGAATACTAATTCGATAAAATAAAATAGCATATTTTTTTAATTTTGAGAACTTGTCACATAAATACAAGAATTTAGAGAATTTAACTAAAAAAGAATTTAAAAAAAATCGAATTTGTAGCAAAGGTGCCTAATAAATGCGTATTTTATTTTATTTTATTATAAAAATAATAAATAAAATATAATGTAATTTCAAATAAGGCAATGTTTGGTGGTTGTGATAAATGAAGGGTTTAATTTTGCTAACAAATTTTATTTTTCCAAAATTAGAGAAAAAAAAAAGTTTTTTTTTTTTTTGTTTGGCAAAGCTTAGTTTAATTGATGCCACGTGTAATTATTAATCCATTTATCTAAAAGTAATATGACACTTTTTTTACCAAATCTTTTCTTTTGTTTCTTTCTTACTTTTCTACCTTTTGAAATTTTACTATTTTAAGATTATTCTAATATTTTAACCTATTGTTTAATAGATTGCATTTTATGAATGTGCACCTTATTGATATAAACAGTAACTTTCACGATCATGAATAATAAAAATAATTTTGTAAGCGTATTTTTAGAGTTTGAGACAAAAATAGTAGTAAAAATGGGGGGTTTTATTCCTACAAATTTAATTTTATAACTAATAAATCAATTAATTTTTAAAAAATTTCCAATACAACTCAAAATTACACCAAACAGAAATCATATTCAATACGCTCTCTGATCGGTATGCCAAGATCGAGAGAAATCCCATCACTCTGTTTCCTTTTGTTTTTACCCATATTGAGGGAGTGCGAGATAAAACGGATAGGTAATAACAATAAAGACAATGTTGTCCCATCTCCCATGGAAGGATCCTTTCCCCTTTGTGGGTTGAGTAGCTTTGTTTTTTGTTGTTTCTTTATTGAAACAAAAGCATGAAAGGAATGATTTTGTAGGGATTTGACCATACCTAAACCATTTTCAATGGAACACACAAAATTAAATAACATAATTATAATTATATTTATTTTTATATAATATATATATTTGCAATTAAGGCTCTTCAAATAATGGAGGAAGAATGGGGAGAGAAATTGCATTTAATAAATACTTCCAACCACTCCCTTTGCAATAAATATCATATTTACTTCATTTAATCCCTTTTTCATTTTTTTAATTTCCAATAATTACAAAAAAAAAATTGATTTAAAACTGGATTATAAACTTATTCAACTCGGGTTTGGTTCATTGCATGAGTTTTTAACTAAGATATCATTTAATCGTGTCATAATAACTCGTAATATAAAATGTTGAGCCGGCTAATTATTCACGATCTTCATAAAAAAATAAATTTATGGTTGAATTTAATAATTTAGGATAAAATTGATTCACCAATGGTCAATTTTTTTTTTTACCTAAATTGATTCACCAACGATTTTATCTGAAATATTTATATACGACAAAATAGTGTAAAATTCAGTGTATCAAACCCAATTTTAGTATAAAATATTAAAATTAAAAAAGAAAAGGCTCATTTATTATTATTATTATTTTAATTAACAAAATTTAATATTTTAATGTGAAATATAGATTTTATTATTCACTTAGTGCCACTTTTTAAAATTTTAACCATAGTATATTTTAGCTGTGAATCTATGACATGGGATTTGATACTCAAATCCAACACATAATAGTTTCACATTTGAATCGTGATATTAACCAATAGAATATTTTAAAGACGTTTCTAAAGTTTTTAAAAAAAATTAAAATTTTTAAAATAAAATATTAACGATTTCTATTCGAAATATATATATTTTATTTTTTTTCTTTTGAGAAAGAGTGGAAATGGGCTTATCGCTCATGTTGACAGGTGGAGCTTGAGATTGAAATGGGCTTAGTTGGGCCTTCTGGAAGATAACAAGCCCAAATAGAAGCCCAAACTTTATTTTGAATACAGAAAATGGTCAAAACTCTCTTTTTCGGCTAAAATCGACCGTTGAAATTTATTTTTGTTTGTTACCTTTTTCTCCTCATCCTCCCCAACGTTCACTTCTCTGTTTTCCATTAAATAACTCTCACCTAATCCAATTCCTCATAGCTCAAATTCCCACAGAATCTTCACCTTTCTTCTTCATTCCCTTTTGAATATCTGTAATCCCTCGAAGCTCATCGGTTCCAATGGAGATTGCGACTGAACCAGCCATTCCCACAACCCCAACTCAGTCAAAACCTGTAGATTCCGAACAACAATCTGAAACTTCCGGCGCCGGCGAAACGACGGCAACCCCGGAACTTGAAACGCCCATAAACGGAACCCCAGATCGAGAGAAGAAGGGAAAAGCCCAAAACCAAATGGAAAGTTCAAAATGTGAGTGTAAAACGCCAACCCCAGATGAGAAAACAGAGGAAAAACAGAGGATTTTGGTCCCTGTAAATGGTTTGATGATGGATCGATTGAAGGTGCCGAAGAGCCCGAACGTGGCTGGAGAAGTTAAACAAAGAGGGGGCATTGCATTTCCCAAGAATGGTACTCCGAATCGGCTGAAAGTGCCCAAAGCATTCAAATATCACGAAAGGTAATGGCTTAGAAGTGTGAGTTTTTGGTGTCCGATGTGAAAAGTGGTGAATTTGAAAGTGGTGATTCGCTGTTGTAGGTATACAAGTCCGACGGATTTGATGATGTCGCCTATCACCAAAGGCCTTCTCGCCAGAACCAGGAAAGGGGCTGTCCCTTCCAAGGTTAGCTGTCTTCTTTCTCTAACTAACTCTTTGTTATAATTATCATTCTTTTAGATTAACAAGTTTGAAGGGTTTTGTGTTCTTGTTCTGTTGATGCAGATGCATGAGCTGAGAATTTCGGAGATGAGTCTTCATAGCTGAATAAATGGGTTCTTATGGGCCTCCAAAATTTCATGAGTTCTTCTCTTTTCATTTCCATTGCTTCTTGTATCACTTCTTTATGAATATATAGTAGAATTTAATTCATTGTTCTAATAATATTGTGTTAAATCATCCCGGACAAAGAAGACGAGCCATTCAACACAAATTTGATACCATTGAATCCTGTTCATTAATGAACTCGTGTACTCACAAACCCAAAAACAGAAATTTAACAAAAATATATAAAGATTTATGTGGTTTGGAGAGAAGAAATTCTCTTATAATCCATGTGTAACAACAAATCTAGTGCTGAGAATCTCTGTACAAAAGTTTTCCAACAGCCACCTAAATAGACACTTAATCAAACTCAATACATCTCAACCATTTCTTAGAGGGTCCTTTATATAAGCACAAGAGCATTAATGTCATACATTCATGTATCAAATGGAAGCTAAATGAATGAGAGATGAACTTAATAAATTAGAGTTATGAATCAAATAAATGTCAATATATGTATAGGAGATTCAAATTCAACTATCCTTTCGAGTTCACAAAAAAACTAATCAAGTCGCGAAGAATCACTCAAGGCAAACTTGATACCATTGAATCGAACCGATATCTCCATCGATTTCGAGTTCACAAACGAACTTAACCAAGAAAGAAACAGCTTCCTCGATGGATTCAAAGCGTTGGAGATCAGGTGGAAGAGCTTCTCCTGGCCAATTTTGAAGCCAACCTTTCAAAATGGCTTCCAATTCGTGTTTGGAAACAAATTTCTCATCTTCTCCAGGCTCCAAAAGCACATACGTATCACTACTTTCATTTGCTCTTCTTCTTCTTCTACTACTCGCATATACCTAAACATTCCCCCTCATAACTCTTAGTTCATACTTCGTTTCCATTCAAAAATGGTAAGAGAAAAGCCATAAAAACAGTGAAATTGGATAAACCTTGATTTGTTGCTGATGTCTGGAGGCAGTAGGCAGCTTGGGAAGAAGAAAGGAAGCAGCACCCGACAAGCACTTGGAGTTCTGCTGTTCTGTTCTTCTTCGTCTTCTTACTGTACTCCAAAAAAGAAAAAAAAAATGAAAATCTAAACATAAAATAGAAGAAAAGAAAAGGGTAATTTCGTACATGGGTAGAGGGTAGAATTGGAATAAGAAATTATTCCATTGAAGCTCTGGAAGTGCTTGTGAAGACCTGCTCTCTCCATTTGATGCACTCTGAAGCTTCAACTGAAACAAACCCTCGTTGATTTCTTGGGGATAATGCTTTAACACTCACCAAGCTGTTTTGTTCAGCTTCTTTCCACTGTTTGCCCTCCATTTTCTTCTTATTTACCATTTTACCCCTTATTTCCAATTCATAAAAAGTTTATCAAAATACCAAAAGAAAATAAAATATTAAACTCGAGAATTCTATTAGGGTCCGAGTAAAAATAAATAGAGAATTTTGTGAGATGAGACAAAAAAAAAAAAAAAAAAAAAAATAAAC